CCTGACGGTCAATCTCGCCCACCGCATCGCCTTCTGGGCCATCGTCAGTTTCTTCGCCGCATACATGATCCATACCTACGACGTGAGCCTGCGGTTCGTGGCTCTGCCTCTGGTAGTAATAGCCATAGGCCAGGTGATAGGAACCTACGCCGGCGGGGTTGTGACAGGGAGCAGGCACCGCCCCATCCTCATTGCCGCCCTCTGTGCCGCCGGAGGGGCCTGCGGGTTCCTTTTCTTCGCTATCGATCTGCAACTCTGGGTGGCTGTTGCCGTGGCAACGCTGGCAACGGGATTGCTGAGCGTCAATTTCCCTGCCCTGGTGGCTGCCAGCACCGAGCATTCGGGCGAATCAAAGTCCACCGGCGTGGGCATGATGGGCCTGACCAACCAGTTGGGGGGCGTATTCGGCGCCGCGATTTCCGGCGGCCTCCTGGCAAGCACGGGCTACGGGGGAGTAGCGTACCTGTGTCTGGGAACAACAGTCGTAAGCGTCCTCGCGGCAGTCCTGTTCGCCAAACAGCTGCGCCTGGGCAACGTCTGAAATACCACACTCGCAGGGGTGCCGTCGCTCCAGTCAGGGATTAGGCAGTCGTCATTGCTCTTCCGTGGGGGGCACCTTCTCCCCTCACACCCGCCATGGAGTATAATCAGCGGCAGCGCGTCCCGACCGGGTACGCAGTCTGAATGACCGATGGGATATTACTGGAATGAGTAGCAAGTTTCTGGACCGCCTGGAGGAAATCAGGGAGGGCGCGACGCCGCGCTTGGGATTCGGGACGACGCGCCCCCCCAAACTGCCCGGCCTGGGCCTGATCATCACCGCCGACGGAGGGAAGAATGGAGCATCGGCTGCCGGAGGTCTGGCCCCCGACGCAGTGGTCATTTCCGGGTCTCCTGTGGTGCAGGCAGGCGAGATTGCGGAGGCAGCTGCGAGCGTCAATTGGGGCGTCCGTGCCGACGGTTTGACCTCCGCCGATGCAGCTTCATGGAGAGAGGCCGGAGCCGACCTTCTGGTCTTCTCACTGTCCGGCACTGCTCTGGGAGCGGTTACGTCGAAGGATGCGGCACGTGTGCTGGCCGTGAATTCCGACTCCTCTCCCGAGGAGCTGCGGGACATTAACCCTCTGCCCGTGGACGCCGTGCTGGTATCGCTGCCCGGGGATCCGGCCGGATGGACACTGCAGGACCTGGCGGGACTTGCCAGGGTCAGCGGCCGCGTTGGGAAATACCTCTTGGCCGAAATCTCGGGCGCGCCCGACGGCGATACGCTGGAAGCGCTTCGCAACGCTGGAGTCGCGGGTTTGGTCATGGACCTGTCAGCGGGGGAAGACACCATCAAGGGCCTGAAAGAATCCTTATTGGAAATGCCCCGGCCCGGCTCCGACGGCCGTTCCCGCTCCAACGCGATCTTGCCCGGCTCGGTATATGCCGACCGGCGTCCCGCTCAGGCAGATCCGGAACCGGACGACGACGACGATTAGCGAGGCGCCAGATGACCGAAGCGCAGCAGCCAGACGGTGAGCCCGGCTCGGAACATGGCCAGCACGAGCATGTCCATGAACCGCACGAGCACTATGGAGTGCTCCCGCCCAATGGCGTGGAGGACCTGACCGACAAGCTAACTGGTTTCATGAACGAAATCGAGTTGGGCGGCCTGTCGGATATATTGGGCCAGGTGTTGGACGATTTCCTGGACCAGTGCGGCGGAATGCCGGAAGATCTCACCGCCCGCGACGCCTTCGAGCAGATTTCCCGAGGCCAGCTTGCAGTCACGTTGGCCTACCAGCTGGGACGGCTGGAGGGGCGATCGCCTCAGTTGGTTGAAAATCTGGTAGCCCGCGCCGTCGAGTCCTACGGATTCTTGCCCCTGGACGAGTCGGATGAGATAACGGACGCTGACATGGAGAACCCCAAGGTGCAGGTGTATCCCAGGATGCGCCGTATGGAATACGTCGAGCCGCAGATTCTCCAGATCCAGGGTTTGGGAGACGCCCTCGCTGACGGCGGTGGGCCGCCTTCGGAATAAGTGGCCGGAACCACCGCTGGTTCAACATTTCCTTCGAGGGATGACTAATGACGACTTCCGCAGCCACCTATGACCTGCTGCTGACCGGCGGCACCCTGCTAGACCCAGCCCAGGGCATCAACGGCCGGCGCGACGTGGCTTTCAAGGATGGCCTCGTAGCCGCCGTTGCCGAGCGAATCGACGCAGCGCAGGCGACCGCAACGGTGGATGTGTCGGGAAAGCTGGTAACGCCGGGTCTGATCGATCTGCACGGTCACTTCTACCACGGCGGCAACCCCACGTCGGTCAATCCCGATGAGATCTGCCTGTCATCTGGCACCACCACCGGCATCGATGCGGGAAGCGCCGGTTTCCTTAACTACCAGGCCATGCGGGACTACGTGTTCCCAGCCCACCGCACGAGGCTTCTGGCCTTTCTGCACGTAGGCGCCGTGGGCCTGGCGGTCAACCGTGTGCTCGGTGGCGGTCTGCACGATATGCGGGTCATAGATGTTGACGAGACCTCGGAGCATATCAAACAGAACCCCGGATTCTGCTTCGGCGTGAAGGTGCGGATGCACGTCAACGCCGTAGCCTACTGGAACGCCCACGAGGCCATGAAAGCGGCCCGCGAGGTCGCCGACAAGTCGGGCACGCGCCTGATGGTGCATGTCAGTGGCACACCCATTCCGCTGCCGGACGTGCTGGAGTTCCTCGGCCCCGGAGACATCTCCACTCACGCTTTCAACGGCCACCCCGAGAATATGTTGGACCGCAACATGAAGATACGGCCAGAGGTAAAAGCGGCTGTGGACCGCGGCGTGATCATGGACCTAGCCCACGCCGGAGTGCACTGCGACGTGGAGGTAACTCGGGCGGCGCTGGAACAGGGGCTTGCTCCTCACACCATCAGCACCGATATCCACGTGCCGCCGCCGGAACGCACCGTGTACCAGATGAACGACCTGGTCAGCAAGATGAACGCGATGGGGATGCCTCTGGCCGACGCCATCGCAGCATCCACCAGCACCCCTGCGGGAGTCCTGGGTCTACAGGACACCATCGGCTCGCTGGCTCCGGGTATGTGCGGCGATGCCGCCGTGTTCGACCAGCGCGAGGGCGCCTTTGTATGGATGGACTCTGTGGGCAACCTGCAGCGGGGCACCATGCGCTTGGACACCTTCGCCGCGATACGAGGCGGCCAGATGGCTTGGCGTGAGGGCCAATTGGTCGAAATGGGCAACTGCTAGAAATATTCGGCCAATTTTCGGACGCCCGTTGAGGGCGGTGAACACAGCGGCGCCACGCTCAATTGGGCGTGTCGTTAAGCGTGATGGAAGGGTGCCCGGCCAGTTTGAATATGAATTCCACTGTCTCATCTGACGGGAACAGCGAGCGTTCCACTGCCACCATCGTCATTGGGGCGTACAGGTAGGCGTACTCGCGACCCTGAGCGTCTTGGTTCAGGTCCAGTTGCACAACAGCTTTGTTTCCGTCCACAACGACGTCGGCCACTGCTAGCGGGTCCCCCTTGACAGGGCGCCAGAGGTAGTAAGCAGCCAGCAGGACAGAAGTCTCGAAATCGATTCTTCCCAGGGATGTTGGATTGCCCCGGGTAGCCTTGCTGATGTAGCTGGTCTGAAAGGTGTCCAATTCCTCTTGGCTGACGATGACGAAGGCTCGCAACTCGTCGGCAAAGGGCCCCGCTACCTGAGAATCCTGGGGCGAAATCCAGCCGCTGTTGACATACCGGAAGCTGGGCTGCGACGAATAGGCAGCCGCGGCCGTTTCTCCCCAGTTTCTCCCAACAGTCGATACAACCGCCAGCAGGGCGGCCAGCACTAATACCGCTGCCGTCAGTCGCAGCGACGGCAGCGGTTCGCGTATGGCAGCAGTGGTGTCCTCTACCTCGATCACTTCCATGAATCGGTGTTAATCATACCAAAACTGCGTCCGCCTTAATTGTGTTGAAACGCCCGTGATTACGTAGAAAAGAGAAACGGCCCCACTGCTGGGGCCGCTCGTCAACTTCAGCGCTCGGTCTCGTTTATACGCCGATGCCTACCCGGGGTTGTATTTGAGCACCAACTCGGACACGCGGGGATCGATGTTGCCGATATCCACACCACCGTCCAGCCGGGCCACACCCAGATGGGCGTCGCGCTGGATTTCTTCCCAGTCGGGCTCAAGCTCGAATTGGTCGCGAAGATCGTCGAAAAGAGTGTCTAGCGAGTCTTTGTCAAACATGGCAGTCTGAAAATTCCCTCCTCATTGAGAATGCCAATTGGACCTATCCCGGAACCGAAAATCCGGGTTGCCCGATGTCTATTGCCGGCAGGGACTTCGCTTCATCGGGGATTTGCGGGGGCATAAATCACCACCGATAAAGCGCTTGTTAGTCTACTCAATCTCTCGCCTGCTGACAAGTCTGCCAAGAACCGTTGCAGCTGCCATTGGGCAAGGTTATGGAAGTGGCGTCCCGCCACGCCGTTGCTGGTAAAGGTAAAACAGACCTATGGCAATTGGAACCGCGATAATTATCGCTCCTGTCATCCCAACCATCGCCCAAGGGCCGACGCCGAAGATTTCGTCCATCCGCTCTTTGAGCCAGTGAATCAATTCCGGGTCGGCTGCATCTCCCTGGTGAAGCAGTATGGAACCCAGAATTTGTCCGGGACTAGGCATCGGTCACTCACACCGTCTGCGGCTGGGGTTGCTGGTATCGCGCGGAGTACTTGCGCTCGCGGATGGTGAACGCCGACAGAGCCGCCGGGACGAGCAGGGATCCCACAATGGCAAAGGGCACGGTGTAGGACCCGGTAACGTCATACAGCCAACCGGCCAGCGTTACGCTGACGAATCCGCCTATCTGGTGGAACATAAAAGTGATCCCGGAGATGGTGCCCATGGCACGCAGCCCGTAGACCTCGGCCGTGAGCGACGACGTCAGCGGCAGAGTGGCGATCCAGGAGAACCCGGCGACGCAGGCAAAAATCCACAGGCCGGCAATGTTCATACCTGGGATGAAAGGCGTGATCAACAACAGCAGATAGGCCAGTCCCCGCACGGAGTAGACCAGGTCAACCAGTTCTTCGTGCCGCCAATTTTGTCTGACAAATATCCCGCAGAAGTGGCCCCCACGATGTTGAGACCGCTCATCACGGCGAAAATCAGCGCTGCGGTGCCACGATCCACCCCACGATCCTCGGCGTAGGGGATGAAATGGATCGACAGGATGAAGGTGGTCGCGCCACAAACAAAATAGGCCCCGGACATCTGCCAGAAGGGCCACGAACTCAGGGAGTCCCGCCAGGACGCTGCCTCCAGCGGCCCCGGAGTGCGCTCCGGGCGACGGAGGATGGCTTCCTCCGACTGCTCATCATCGCCATCGGGACGCAGGTTCATCTGTGCCGGATTCTCGCGAATGAACAACCAGGTTACTGGCAGGGACAGGAGCACTACGCCGCCCAATCCGATCCAGGCGATACGCCAGCCTGCGGCGTCCATTGGTAGACGGCGAAAGGCACCATCACGAGGCCGCCGATCGACAGCGCTGTCGAGTTGATGCCGATGACAGTGCCCCGCATTCTGACGAACCACCGGGACAGCAGTGCGGAAGTGTTGGTCAGGGACAGCCCACTCTGCGCCACCGATGCCAGGATGCCGAACACGAAAATGAAGAACAGGAAGTTGAAAGTCCAGTACAGAGATATGGTTATCAGCCCCAGCGCCAGCACCGAGGCCAAGATGAGCTTTCGACCGCCGGTGCGGTCGAAAACCTGGCCCATAAAGGGCTGAATGAAACCGTTCAGCAGAATTCCCAGACCTGCCGCAAAGGAAATGGTAAGCCTGTTCCAGCCGAACTCGTCGGTCATCGGGGGTAATGAAGGCGCCGAACCCGTTGCGGGCCCCCACGGCGGCAAAGCCGACAAACACCGCCGCCGCCACTACGTACCAACCAAAAAACACCGGGCGACGCGTTGGACTACTCGCGCTCATAGATCTGCACCATTGCCTGAGGCTGTGGACGGTTCCATTCGAATTCGCAGTCCATGATACCACCGCGAGGGCCAGGTTGCGTGACTGGAGATGATTGACCCGCCGGGCAGGCAGTATCTACACTTGCGCCAGACTGACCAGGTTTTGGAGGTGATGCGTATGGCGTTCAAGCTGGTGATCTGCCCTCCCAACTACCAGGAACACTGGCCGGACCTGCTCCGCCGGGAGATCCCCCGATATCGACGTTCACCTCTGCCCCACAGTTGGCGAAGCAATGGAAGTCATTGGTGACGCCGACGCCGCGTTTGGCGACATTGTGCCGGAATTGCTGGAACGGGCCGAGAAGCTTCGCTGGGTCGCCTGCCCCCAGGCCGGGCCGAGGGCCGGGTACTATACCCAGGCGCTTGTCGATAGCGATGTAGTGGTCACCAACACGCGGGAAATCTACAACGATCATATCAGCGCCCACATCATGGCATTCCTGCTCGCCTTCGCCCGGGGATTGCAGGTCTACATACCGCAGCAGGTGGAGGGCGTCTGGCGGCAGGGCTACCAGACCACCTATCTGCCCGAGGCTACCGCGGTGGTCGTCGGCGTCGGTGGTATCGGTGGTGAGACCGCCCGGTTGTGCTCCGAATTCGGTATGACCGTGCTGGGGGTCGACCCACGGCTGGAAGAACTCAGTCCCGGACTCGCGGAGCTGCACCGCCCCGAGGACCTGCTCGAGGTGCTGCCCCGCGCTGATTTCGTCCTGCTTACCGTACCTGAGACCCCGGAAACGCAGGGCATGTTCACACGAGAGAAGTTTCGGGCGATGAAGGACACGGCCTTCTTTATCAACATCGGCCGCGGCGCGACGGTGGTGCTGGATGACCTGGTCGAGGCGTTGCGGGCCGGCGAAATTGCGGGAGCAGGCCTTGACGTATTCCAGACAGAGCCGCTTCCCATCGGCCACCCGCTCTGGACCACGCCGGGTGTGCTCATCACTCCCCACGTCGCCGGAGTCGGGCCATACCTCGAAGACCGCCGCACCGACCTGTTCATCGACAACTGCAAGCGGTTCAACGAGGGCCTCCCGCTCCGCAACGTCGTCGACAAGGCCAACTGGTTCTAATTCCCTTCCAACCTGGGGGCCTGACTCCAAGCTCCGCCTGTGCTGGCAGTCCATGGTCCAGCGGGCGAGGACTTAGAGGGTGTGTGAAAGCCTTCTTTCCTTTCGGGAGGGTGTTTGGGTAAGGGAGCCCCACTGGCTTCGCTGAAAGACGAGGGCAATCCGACCTTGGATCAGGGCGGTTGGAATAGGTTTAGACCGCGCCTTCTTGGATCATGACTTCGCGATGTCGCAGGTGATTCTTGGCCTATGGTGGGCCACGTTCGCTACTCTTCAACCCTCGTGAAAATAGTCCTGATGGCTACCGGCTGGTCAGCGCTGAGTTCCAGTGATTCCTGCTGTGCCGGACGCCCGGCACAGCAGGATGGATGTCGTAGCCTTCCAAAACGTGCCGTCCGCTAGTCGCGCAGGGCGGCGGCGTCCCGAGCGGCGCTGTTGCCGGCGAGGCGGCCGAAGACCATGCCCGCGCTGAGACCGGAGCCGCCGGGGTAGTTGTGATAGAACAGCCCGCCGACCATCTCGCCCGCCGCATAGAGGCCCGGCAACGGTTCGAGGCTGGTGTCCAGCACCCGGCCCCTGTTGTCGATGCGGACACCACCGAAGGTAAACGAAATGCCGCAGGTGACGGCGTAGCCGAGGTAGGGCGGCGTGTCGATGGTCTGCGCCCAGTTGGTCTTGTTGGGACTGAGACCGACCGTGCCGCGCCCGTCCTTCACTGTCGGGTTGTACGGTACGTCGGTCTGCACCGCGGCGTTGTATTCCTTGATTTCCGCAGTGAGACCATCGGGGTCGATGTCGAGTCGACGGGCCAATTCCTCGATTGTGTCGGCCTGCGCCATGGTGACCTGCGGGATGTGGTACTCGTCCCGCAGCAGGTGCTTCACCTTGTCGTCGAAGATCTGGAAGGCCACGCCTTGGGCTGGGTCAGCAAAGCCCGCCCGTAGGTGACGTAGGTATAGTTGCGGAAGTCATACCCCTCGTCCAGGAAGCGCTCGCCGTCCAGGTTTACGATCAGGCCAAATGGGTATGAGTGCTTCTGGAACAGCTCGGTGATAGTGCGGTCTCCGTACGCCGGGGCGTTCAGATCCCAGGCAACGGCGTGACAGCTGCTCCAGTGGCCGTGGGGCATCGCGCCCGCGTCCAGTGCCATGCGGATGCCGTCGCCGGTGTTGTAGGGGATGCCGCGCACCTTGACCAGCTCCCAGCCGGCCCCCAGGTAACGGCAGCGCATCTCGGCGTTGGCCTCGAATCCGCCGGCAGCCAGTACCACGGAGCTGGCGTACAGATCCTCAAAGCCCTCCGGTCCCAACACCCGCAGGCCGTTAATCCTGCCAGTGTTGTCGCGGAGCAGTTCCGTTCCCTGGGTGGAGTAGCGCACCTCGATATCCTGGGCACGGCAAACGTCGAACTGCTGGTCCGACAGCCCCTTGCCGGCGCCCACGGCCTCCACGAGCAGACCCCCCCAGAAGCGGTACTTGCCGATCGCCTCGTCGCGAAAGGCCTGCCGCCCGTAAGACAGCACGAATCGGACGCCCTTGGTGCGCATCCACTGCATGGTGGGCAGCGACTGGCTGACCAGAATCTGGGCAAGCTCGGGGTCGCTGTTGCCTTGAGTGACGCGCATCATGTCATCGTAGAACTGGTCCTCCGTGTAGCTGCCGACCTCCACCGACTCCTCCTCTGTGGGAGACATGTCGGGGATTACGGTCTTGATGTCCTCCAGTCCTTCGAAGGCGAAACGGATTATGCCACCGGTGAAATAGGTGTTGCCGCCCCGGAAATACTCAGGTGCCTTTTCCACCACGATGACTGACTGGCAGGTCTCCCTGGCGGCGATGGCGGCGGACAGCGCCGCGTTGCCAGCGCCGACTACGATGACGTCATATTCCTTGGGCATTGGTGATGGCCTCCTGCGATTCTTTGGAACTGTTCCGAAAAGCTTGTCTTATAATAAGCCCGCCGTTGGAAGTTGTGAATTGACGAGCTGCAAGATACCCAGGACTATCGCATTTGGCTGGAGAGATTCCATGTCCCCGCAGGGAATCGAGTACAGGCATTCATTGAGAAGCGAACCTGCGGGGGAATGAGGAGTCTCAGTGGGAGGAATAGGACGGGATTCTTCCCGCGCCAGTCTCATTTCGAGCCTAAAATCGAGCTATTTCCTGTCTGCGGTATGCCGTGCGAGACAGATATTTTCAATTCCTGACCCATTGTGTCCCATTGTGTCCCATTCTTGGGTTTTGCCGTTTTGGGCGTGCCAGGCCCTTGCGGTTGTAAGCAGAGTGTTCCGGACATGTATCGAGTTGAGCACATGCTCGCATAATGTCGATGGGTCAAAGGGCTTGGCAAGAGGTAAATGTCATCAGATATCCAAATGCGATTGCCTTAAAATGGTAGGCATGAAGACCCCCGGAATGCGTAGTGCAAATTTCCGATGAGACCTTTCGCATTAGTGTTCTTGGCTCTGCCACTCTTGCTGTCCCTCGCCTGCGCTTCTGAGACTGGCTCACCTGGGTCGGTCGGCACGCCGGACTTGGGGGCGACTGTGCAGGCCGCGGTGAATGCGGCACTTCCGACGGTAACGCCCACGCCGACGCCGAATACCAACGCGACAATAATTGCGAGCATAATCGCCACTGAGGATGCTGAGTACAACTCTGCTCTAACGCCAGCGCCAACCCCAACCCCGAACATTGACGCGACGGTGGAAGCGCGAACGGCGGCCACAATCGTCGCGATGTCTGCCCTTGCACCCACCGACATTCAGGCCGAGACTCGCGCCCCGACGCCCACTCCTGCCCCGACCGCGATGCCGACCGCCGTCCCCACTCCACTGCCCACACCGACGCGTCAACCGTCCCCGACGCCCCTCCCCACCTTTACCCCGCGTCCGACCCCAACCCCAACCCCCGTTCCGACCAGGGTTGCGGGGCCGTCTCTGAGCGAGATGGTCAAGAACGTGCGGCCCGCGGTGGTAAGGATTCAAACCGGCAGGGGAGGGGGATCGGGCGTCATTTTTCGAAACCCAGGGTCAGACTGGATACGTCATCACCAACCATCACGTAGTGGAGGGATACTCCCAGGTCAACGTGGTAGTCAACGATTCGTCAACCTATCGCGGCACGGTGCAGGGCTCCGACCGTGTGCGCGACCTGGCGGTGGTGAGCATCTGCTGCGACAGATTTCGCGCGTTGCCCTTCGGCGACGCATCACGTCTGGAGCCCGGCGACGAGGTGGTCGCCATCGGATACGCGCTGGGGCTCTCTGGACAGGCCAGCATAACCCGCGGCATTGTGTCAGCCATGCGCTACGACAACCGACGGCAGAGCAACGTAATTCAGACCGACGCCGCCATCAATCCGGGCAACAGCGGGGGGCCGATGCTCTCGATGACCGGTGAGATCCTCGGCATCAATACCTTTCGAATCGACGAATCGGATTCGGGGAGGGCTGCGGAGGGCCTGGGGTTTGCCGTATCGGAGACGACGGTGCGGCAGCGCCTCCCGGCATTGAAGACCGCCCGGGCGGCTCCAACCTCCACGCCAACGCGCCGCCCCGCTCCCACGAGCTCATTCGGCGCATACGGTTTCGGCCCGACCAGCGGGGAGCTGTGGCACGACCCATCCGACGGGTTGATCAAGACCGAGTTCGCCGATGTCTTTGTTTCCGATCTGTTGGTGTGGGCTACTTTCGTGAATCCCTACTCTGCCGCATCTCACGGTTGGGATTATGGATTCATCATTCGAGGGACTGGTGCGGGGGTGTACGCCGCCGAAATGGTTCAAATCGTGGTAACCAGCCGTGGACGGTGGGAACTCTCCTCTCGCCAGGGAGCAAGTTCAGGTAGCAGGGTGATTGCGCGAGGGACGCTCAATTCCTTTGACACGAGTGCCGGAGGGCGAAACCGGCTTTGGGTTGCCGCCCTTGGTGGGAGAGGTTTGCTCTTCGTCAACGGAGAGTTCATATCCTCGCTGGACCTGTCCCAGATAACAGGAGCAGGCGATGTTGCCATAATCACAGGGGCGTTCACTGGAAATGAGGTTGCCGGAGCCGTCACCCGGTTCGAAGACTTCCAGGTCTCACATTTGCGTAAGAGCTACGGCCCGGCGAGCGGAACTCTGCAGGGGGAGCCTGAATTTATCGCAACCCATTCCAGTGGCGTATGGACCAGAAATTTGGTAGCTGAAGCGACTTTCACCAGTCCGCGAGGCAATGACTGGGACTATGGATTCACAATCCGGAACCCGGAATCAAGCCGCCTCGAGGCCGTCGGAATAGACGGTTTGGGACGCTGGTTCCACAAGTCGCGGGACGTAGGTGACGCAGTATATCAGGATATTTCGAGCGGCCTTCTGCGCGCTCACGGTGTAACTCTCGGTGGTCGCAACCACTTGGTCCTGGTCGCACTTGAAGATGTGGGATGGTTTTCGTGAACGATAGGTTTGTCGCTAGGCTCGACCTGTCCACAATCTGGACTACGGCGAAACCAGTGCCATGGGAGACTTCTATGTAAGCCATCAAAGTTCGCCTCATTTCGAGGACTACAACGTCTGGACACCATAATTGAGCCAGCGTGTTATTCCTGGTTCGAAAAACAAATGGATTTCGATGGCGGTCGCTCCAAGCTTGAAAGTGCTGTTCTTCCCGGCCCTGCTCGTGGCGTTTCTTTTCGCCGTCGCCTGCACCCTTCAGGGCCCGTCACCTGTGCCTGTTGAGCAGCCAACATCCCCTCCTGACCTGGAGGCGACCGTTCAGGCTGCGGTATCAGCCGCCTTGCCAACCGTGCCCCCGACCCTCGAGCGGACAGTCGCACGCAGACGAGGGCGCAGATGGGAAGCGCGGCCAGCGCAGCGCTCAGCAGCGACTCCGAAGACGACCGCCGGCGTGGCAGCGCAGACTCAGGACATCGACGAAACACACACGCGAGAGCCGATATGGCACGCACCATGCGCGCAGTCCACCGCCGACGCATCTGCGCCTCAGCCTCACTGGAATCGGCGGGTTCCACTCCAGCGGTAGCTCCCACTCCAATACCGACGGGCACCCCTGCCCCAAGGCCGACGAGCACGCCTTTTCCAGCGAGCCGCGATTCCATGACGTTGAGCGACATGGTCAACCAGGTGCGCCCTGCGGTGGTGCGAATTGGCACGACTACGAGCGTAGGCACCGGCGTCATATTCGAAGCCACCGGTCAAACTGCCTATGTCATTACCAACGAGCACGTAGTTGCCGGCCACCGGCAGGTGACCGTGGTGGTCAACGACTCAGACACCTACAGGGGCACCGTACTGGGCGATGACCCTGTAAGGGACCTAGCTGTTGTCAGCATTTGCTGTGGCAATTTTCACCCGCTGCCCTTTGGTGACGCCTCAGGGCTTCGCGCGGGGGATGAGGTAATTGCTATTGGTTATGCCCTTGGCCTATCGGGCCAGGCCTCGATCACGAGGGGCATCGTTTCCGCGATCAGATATGACTCCGGCCACCTCAGCGATGTGATTCAGACCGACGCCGCCATAAATCCCGGGAACAGCGGCGGGCCCATGCTGTCGAGGTCGGGGGAAATCCTGGGCATAAATACCTTCACCATCGAGCAGTCCAGGTCAGGAAGGCCCGCTGAGGGGCTGGGATTCGCGGTCTCCGGGTCCACCGTGCAGGCCCGGATTCCCCGGCTCCGTACGGCGGCGGCCAACCCCACTCCCACGCCTAACCGTCGTCCTCAGCCTACCAGGACACCCAGCCCCCGGCCGAGTACGCCAGGAGACGATGCCTTCATATTCGGTCCGGTGAGCGGAGATTTGCGGCACGATCCGCGGAACGGGAATGTGGAGTCTTTCAACGCCGGTGTCTCCATGCTGGATGTCGCCGTCAGTGGGACATCCCAATCCGTACCCGCCATCGTCCGGCTCCTGGGATTATGGATTCCTGATACGAAGTGAGAGTGGCCGACCCTCTCTGCGAGCGCTGATTACCAGTTCAGGACGTTGGGAGATCTCAGATGGAGACGGTACCTCCAAGGAATCAAAAAAGGAGGGGAGACTTCCGGAGTTTCATTCCGGCGCTGGCCAGCGGAACAGTCTGGTTCTCTTCGCTGTGGGAGGGAAGGGACTGCTCTTCGTCAACGGCGAATTCGTCGCAGCGCTTGACCTTTCTCAAGCTACGCGGGCAGGGGATGTCGCTGTCATCACAGGCGTATTCTCAGGGAATGAATCATCTGGAGCGACGACGAAGTACGAGAGCTTCCAGGCCATTGAGCTTGTAAAGCGATACGGCCCCGCAACGGGTAGACTTGAAGCAGTTCCCAACAGGATCACGGAGCATAAGACCGGCCAATGGACTCGCGACCTTGTTATCGAGGCTGAGTTTGACAATCCCAGCGGCTCCAACTGGGATTACGGCTTTGTTTTTCGCAACCCCAGCTTAGACCAACTGGAGGCAGTTGGCCTGACCGACAGCGGGGAGTGGTTTCATACCGCGCGCAGTCCCAGCAGTAGCCGCTACGTGGATGTTGTGGAAGCCAGGCGGTCAGATTCCGGTGCTCCTTTCCTCGCGAGGAATCACCTGATGCTACTGGCGTTCCGGGATTCCGGCCTGTTTATCGTGAACGGCCAGTTGGTTGGAAGACTTGACCTGTCTGACAATCGGAGCCGGGGGAACGTTATAGTTATCGCCAATCTCAATAGCGGGCACCTTGGCTCACCAAGGTTCTCCAACCTGAACGTCTGGACGCCTTAGATATGACAATACGTTGCTCATGGGCCACCACGCCCCTCGGAATCTCCTACCACGATGCCGAATGGGGCGTGCCGTTGCACGACGACCAGCAGGTGTTCGAGTTCCTGATTCTCGAGGGCGCACAAGCCGGGCTCTCGTGGGAGCTCATCCTGCAGAAGCGCGACGCATACCGGGAGGCGTTTGACGCCTTCGATCCCGAGAAAGTCGCAGCCTACGGCGACGCCAAGGTAGCCGAACTCCTGGCCAACGCCGGCATTGTGCGCAACCGCCAGAAAATCGCCGCGTCCATCGGCAACGCACGCGCCTTGTTGGAAACCCAGCAGGAGTTCGGTAGTTTCGACGCCTACGTCTGGGCCTTCGTCGGCGGCAGTCCGGTCACCAATGCCTGGCAGTCCATGGCCGATGTGCCCGCCACGACGCCGCTGTCTGAGACGATGAGCAAGGAGATGCGAAAACGAGGATTTCGGTTCGTCGGTCCCACCATCTGTTACTCCTTAATGCAGGCCGTCGGAATGGTCAACGACCATACCGTCGACTGCTTCCGCTACGCAGAGGTGGGGTGAATCTCGAACAGTAACTGGTGTGATTTGAAGAACTCCCTGAATCTGTGGTTCGATTTTTCGAAGAGGAATCCCCTACTCAGGCTTTTCGAAAAACACTGGGCCGCACTGGCCCTCTCAGGCGATTCCGTCTGCGTTGGAATCGGATGTGGGCATGCACAACACTGTATCCGGCCACCCAGTTGACGGATACGTTTCAAACCAGGCGGTCTTACGCCGGTGCCGACAGCATTCTCGCTAGGCGGGAAGCCAGGCCCACGTACTGTCAGTCTGGAAATGTAACTCGACCACCCGATTCGGAACACTGTCTTGTGACGCTCACGCCTTCCAAACTAGTACTCGGTCAAGTCAGGAATTGATGGGGTATAGGCGATGGAGTTTGGTTCTGGCGTCCTGGATGCTGAAGCGCCAGTTGATGCGGGCTTGAGCATCGTTTCGCTCCAGTTCCAGGGCGCGGACCTCCCGGCAGAGGGATTCCTCGTCCGGGAGACGCTGCCTGAGGCAACTGCGGGAGAAGATGCTGAACTCGATCTCCGCCATATTGAGCCAACTGCCGTGCTTGGGCGTGTAGTGAAATTCCAGCCGCTTGGCAATGCGCCGGGCCTCGTCAGCTGGGAACGCCTCATAGAGGGACGCCTTGCAATGGGTGTTCAGATTGTCCAAGACCACTCGAACCACCGCGATATCCGGATAGGCCTCATCCACCAGCCAGCGCATCTGGTGGGCAAAGTCCTCCTTGGTGCGCCGCTGGGTTACCTCTACGTGCCGCCAGCCTGCCAAGGGTTCGCAGGCCAAGAACAGGTTGCGGGTGCCCTCCCGCCGGTACTCGTAGTCCTCACGTCTGGGCTGTCCGGGTGCCGCCGGGATGGGCGGCCGGGCGTCGGCCAGCATCTGGGTGGATGTCTCATCGAAGCAGACCACCGGCCTTTCGGGGTCATAGGGTTCGGCATAGAGGTCCAGGACATCCTCCATGTGGGCCACGAAGTCGGCACTCACCTTGGGAATGCACCACTGTTTCTTCTGCCACGGCTTGAGGATGTTTTTTTCAGATGCAGACGCACCGTCTCGTGGGACAGGGAGTCAACCACGCCCAGTTCAACCATCCGGTCCGCCAAAAGGCGCAGGTTCCAGTGGTCGTGGCCTTCGGGGGCCGGGCTGCAGGCCAGGGCAATCAGGTGGGCTTCGCCACGGTCATCCAGCTTGCGGTACCGGTGGGGCTGGGTCCGGTCCCTGAGCGCCCCGTCCAACCCATCCTCGGCGAAGCGCCGCTTGAGGCGGAACACCGTGCCCTCGGACACATCCAGGGTTTGGGCTACTCTGGGAGCCGACCAGCCCTCGTCGGTCTTGAGCAGGATGCGGCCCCGGGTCGTAACCCTGGCCGGACTCTTCCCTGCCCGGACCATGTGCTCCAGTTGGTCGCGTTCCTCCGACGTCAGCCGAACTATAAATTTCTCTCTGACCACACCGCCACCTCACAACAACATCTTCCATGACTCAGAATATCATCGACATCCATGCCTCTGAGTCTACCTATCGGACCAAGTTTGACCGAGTAACTAGGTTCCGCTTCCATATAATCAAACAAACGTTCTTTAAACGTTCTGGCTTGAGCATGCATCCCCACCATACGGCAGAATCCGCAAATGCCGATACAAAGGAGCGGAAATTCCTGAATTTTCATCTCGAGAACCGCTGTCGCGGCATCTCCCACAGCGGACCCTGCAGGGAGGGATGGATCCCTTATTGAGACTAGGGGTCGTGGAAAATGCACAAAATGGCACACTTTTCCGGAGGTACCCTGTCGGGCGCCTCCCCGTATTGATACACCCCTCTGACACCTTGCCGGCGCGGGCCTTGCCCTCGGACTGGTCCGGTGCCAGGGCATAAGGATTGTGAATTCGGCTCCCCCAGGCAACGCCGGATAGTATGGCACCATCCTTAGACAATTCGACCAACTCAATCGTAACGCTACAGAGTTGACGTAATGTATTGCCGTTGGTGCTTCCCGACCTGTAATATAGCCAAAACGAAACGCAACAGTCCGTCGTGTGCGGCAGTATCTTAACCAGGGAGAATCGGTCCAATGAAAGCGGCCAGACTCATCGGCCCTAAGCTCTTCGAACTTTTGGAAGCGGAAACGCCCTCGGCACAGGACGGGGAATGCCTGGTCCGGCTGGAGCGCGTCTCCGTCTGCGGCAGTGATATTCGCCATGGGTTCGCCATCAACCCGGAGGAATACTATCCGGCTCCCATCGGGCACCCTTGCCACGAGTTGGCTGGCACCATCGTCGAGAGCCGCACCGATGCTTACCACGAAGGGCAGCGCGTCATTGTCATTCCGCCGCGTGGGTCCGCCGGGTTGGTGGAATACATGGTGTCTGACCCGGGCCGCATGATTTTGCTTCCCGATGAGGGCTCGCTTGACGACTGGATCATGTGCCAGCCTTCGGGCACGGTGCTGTATTCCTGCCAGCAGATGCCCAACCTGCTGGGCAAGAACGTGGTCGTGATGGGGCAGGGAAGCATCGGTCTCAGCTTTACCATGATCACCTCCCGCATCGGAGCCCGGAACGTCATCGGGGTTGACCTGCTCGACAACAGGCTGGAAGCCTCAAAGACGTTTGGTTCCACCTACCAGCTCAATCCTGATAGGGATAACCTGGAGGAGGCGGTGGCCGAGATCACCGGCGGCGTTGGAGCCGACGTGGTTGTGGAAGCGGCGGGCTACGCCGACACTTTCAACATGTGCTTCCGGCTGGTCCGCCAGAACGGGACCTGCATCATTTTCGGTATCCAGGAGGAGGAATTCATTCCCCTGGAACATAACTGGCTTATGGACAAGCAGCCGCGAATCATCCCGACGACCGGAGCTCGCAGCGGCGATCCAATCAGCCACATTCAGGAAATCGTGGCGCTGCGCCAGCGAGGATGGTGCGACCCTGCCCCGCTGGTCACCCACCAAATGGGCTTCTCCGATGTTCAGAAGGCCTACGATATGTACGATCAACGGACGGACAACATCATCAAGGTGTGATGAACCTCAGCAATTAGCTGGCTGGGCTCAGGGAGCCTCGCAGCGAGCTTTTTCGAATTGACAAATGAGGGACCCCAAGACCCCTGTCTCTAATTCCTGGAGGCGGTGCCGGGTGGTGGCGTGTGAAACCAGGGGAAGAAATCAGGCTGGTAAGAGAGAATCTGGCATTCTGTGTCGCACTGTGGAAAGGTGCGTCAGCAGGTAGAGTGCCGCCGCATTCTCTGGTCCGGCCGTCCAGCGATGCCCCCCCTTTCAATCAGCAGGCCGGAAGCGGCCACCGCTCTGATCCAGAGTTGGCTGCCGAATTGGTCAGGGGCGCGGCCAACCAGATGAGGTCCGCTTTTGCCATCTCCGCCCTGCAGGTCCAGCGAAGTCTGGAAACCGCTTTCCCCGGTGAGCCCATCCGGGAAGAATGGCCGGAGTTGCGCGCTGCCCGGTCTGCGATGTATCTCATTGGCAGGGCGGTGGAGCGGTCCATCCTGCAGCCGGTTTGGGAATGCCCGCCGCCATATCGAAAGTTGTTCCACATCAGGCGTTTCGCCTTCACGTTGAACGCTACTGGCCTGGAGGGCCGGGCGCTCAGCTGGGACGACTTTGGTGGGCTGGAAAAATATCTCGGGTTGCTTGAGTACCTCGGCGCCAGCGCAAATGCCGTGGTGGCAGGCGGCACCGCGGCCGCCTCGCGAACTCTCCCCAAGAATCCGGGGTCGACCACAACAGCGTTTGGCGGCGTCATTGGCTCCCCCTCCTTGTCGGAGGATGGCGAAGAATCGACTCCGGCTGTTCCGCCCCGGGGTTATCCGGGAGATCCTCCGGATCGGCGCCTCGCCCCTGGCGCTCCTCCATTCTTGCCGCCGAGGGTACCGGATCCGATGGAGGACGCCGATAGCTGGGACGTCGCCATCAGGGAACGGTCGGGTCTTTGGCACAGGGAACAGGAGCCAGCCGGCACGTCCTCGTACGCCAATGGGGGCCGGGGTTCCAACGGCAGCCACGGAAGTCGTCTGGAGGCCATTCCGGCAGGTGGGCTGATTCGCCGCTTTATCGCCGAACGATGCGAGACAGGGGATGAGCGAAGGGCTCTTGCCGGAGAACTGTACACGGGATTCCTGCATTGGTGTAACGACCTCGGCCACCAGCCGTTATCGCAACGAGCCTTCGGTATGAGGCTCACCAGCCTTGGACTGAGGCGCAAGCGGCGTGGCCATGGAAAGCATTGGTGGGAGGGAATCCGACTGGCCGTTTGATGCGGTGGGGGGAGTGGTGTAGCGCCGGACATCCTGCAGGGTCGGAGTCGCGGCGCTTGGTCAATGGCGACAGGTAGCAAAATAATCCTTTTCTTGGTGGTCGCGGCCGTCTTTGCTTGGCCCGGCTATAGGACCGTATCGTCAATCGTTTCCCCTGTTGACGACACTGTCGCTTCTGCGTCTCAAACCGGGCCGTCTTCCCGGCCCGTGAGCGACTCAACCAATGTCCCTGCTCCAACGCCCGCTCGACCGACGTCAATCCCGCCATCTACAAGAATTGCGCGGGCCGCGTCTTCAGTAATCTCACGAGCGGCGGCTATCGTTCAACCGGACCCCACCGCTATACCCTCCCTCACCGCAACCCCCGCGCCGACGCAAACGCGGCCACCGCAGCCTTCACCTACGCCGGTCGCGCCTCAGTACGCGTTGATGCTGCAACTGATAAACGAGGCAAGGGTTGCAGTGGGAGTGCCAGCGGTTCAGTTGAGCGACAATCGGGCGGCGCAAATCCACGCTGCGAACTCCCTCAGAGACTGCGTCGCTGCCCATTGGGGGATTGACGGACTGAAACCCTATATGCGCTACAGCCTGGCCGGCGGGTATCAGTCGAACGCCGAGAACTGGTACGGCGCGAATTACTGCATCGCGGCGTCGGATGGCTATCGTGCGATAGCGAGCGTTTCCAGCGAGATCCGGAGGGCAATGCAGGAATGGATGGACAGCCCGGGCCACAGGGACAACATCCTTGATCCATCCCACAGAAAAGTCAACGTGGGGATGGCGTGGGACGAATTTAATTTCGTGGCCTACCAGCATTTTGAGGGCGACTACGTCGATTACTCCGCCCTACCCGAGATCAACGGCGGCAGGTTGACGTTTGAGGGGCGGGTGAAGAACGGGGCAAGGTTCGGTGAGGGCCGAATCTTTCCGGTAAGAATTGACTACGACCCTCCTCCGCAACAGCTCACACGCGGTCAGGTGGCGAGGACTTACTGCTACGGACCCGGCCATCCGGCAGTTTACCTGCGAGAGCTCCTGCCCCTGATCAGCTACGTGCCGGAGGAATACAAGCCCGACGAATACTTGCCCGATGAACCAATCCGTACGGAATACGAGTCCTGCACCGATCCCTATGACGTTGCCATTGACGCTCCCGCTCCTTCGTCCCACGAGGAGGCACGTCAGCTATGGCAGGAGGCTCGATCCCAGAACCAGCAGCCCCTCCGTCAAACCATATCGGTGCCAACAAAATCGGTATTTCGATGGCAGGTCAGGGGAGACAGTTTCTCGGTAGGCGCCGACTTGAGAGACATACTGGAAACTCACGGCCCTGGGGTCTATACGGTGGTGCTTCTGGGCATATTGGCAGGGGAAGCGGAGGCAATTTCATCATACTCCGTCTTCCATGAGATTCCACGACCCGTCGGCTATGGTTCACAATGAGCCTGGAGGCCGAACCATGTCCTTGAAAACTCAGAACAATCGTGGATGGCAGCGCGACCGCTTGCGGCATCATCCTCCTTCCTGCTCTTGTTACCTCTGTAACGACGACAAGGGGAGCCAGCAAGCGGAGCGCCAGAGGGCGGACGGGGACTTTACCCGGTCAACTGAGGCCGTACGTCAAACGGGGGATAGTCGCGGGGACGTGCGGGTGAGCGAAAGGCCCGTTTCGCCGCGCTCGGCACCAACTCGGCGCAGGCGCCCGCGGGAGGGAGGCCTTTTCAGGGCGTTTTGGCTGGTAACTTTTATGGCGGTGCTGTATGCCTTTGGCCTGCACGCCTTGGTGCTGCTCGGGCTGGTTACCTACACGATCAGCCAAGAAGGCTTCCTTGGGATTATTCCCATGTTGTCCGATGCTGGCGATGCCTATCTCGGGTCCTGGGGCGTCGGTAATCCAGGTGGTTAAGCAATTGGCAGCGGACAATGGGGATAAGTCCGCGGCGATTGCGAAATAGCTAGCTTCGCCTCTTGCTATCTCTCGCTCAGCATTCGTGTGAATGCCCGGAGTGATGATGGTGGCCGCCGCCCGGCGGCTCAACCTCCCGCAGTCAACACCCCGGCTGCCCGTAGTTCCCGCAACACCCGCGCACTCTTCGCAGCTTGGTCCAATTGTTGTCTGCGATGAGCTTCAGCTTGCGCTTCAGAACCATGGGTACGAGCAAGTTGGCGATATAGGCGAATTTGAGTTGCCGCTTGCCGGACATAACGTGCTCAATTATGCTGATTACAGATGGGAAAGGCAATCGGCCAGGCAACTGCGAGACAAGCCCGCCCGGCCGTCGATTACCGCAATTGGCGGTAAGGAGGCACCATGCCCGATCGGCCCGAATACCTGGAACGACTTGCGGAGTTCGTCTGCGAGCTCAACCTGGACAAACTTGGCCCCGAGACTACGGAGGCGGCCCGCACTGTCGTCCTGGACACCATCGGTGCCATGCTGGCCGGCAGCAGGCTGCCCGAGAACCGCAAGCTGGCCGAACTGGCGGTCAGGATAGCGGCACCGGTACCTCCAGCATTGTCGGCCATCCGAACCAGGCGGGCCCAATGCTTGCCTCGCTGGTGAACGGTACTTCCGGGGTCGCGCTGGAGATGGACGAAGGCAACCGCCTTGGCGGTGGGCACGCTGCCATCCACGTGATCCCGCCGGCCCTGGCCGTTGCGGAAGAGGCGCAGGCTACGGGTAGGCAGTTCCTCGAAAGCGTCATCGCCGCCTACGAGGTTACATCCCGCGTTGGCACCGGAACGGCAGTGAAGCCGGATGTCCACTCCCACGGCACCTGGGGCACCATCGGCGCTGCGGTCGCCGCCGCCAAGCTGATGGATTTGAGCAAGGGTGAGGTCCGCGAGGCCATCAACATCGCCGCGTCCATGAGCCCGGCCAATACCTGGACGCCCTGCATCGAAGGGGCCACCGTCCGCAACCTGTATCCGGGCCGTTCAGCAATGCAGGGAATCATGGCGGCCAATGTCGTGCAGTGCGGATTCACCGGCCTGAAGGACGGCCCTGCCGACTTGTATGGGTCGCTGCTCGGTATGGGATTCGATGCCGAGGCGGCGGTCGACGGCCTGGGAGAGCCGGGACCGCTGCGAATCCAGCAGAACTACTTCAAGCTCCACGCCTGCTGGCTCTACAACCACCACGCGCTGGACGGGTTGCAGCACATACTGCGAGAGGGGAGAATTCGGCGCGAGCGACGTCAAGAGCATCGACGTGATCGCCCCGCCTTTGGCCACCATAATGACCGACCCGGCCCCGCCAAATATGCTTGCCGGCAAGTTCTCCCTGCCATATGCCCTGGCGGCCTCGGTGACTCTTGGCGCCACCGACGTGACGGCGTTCTATCCGGACAGGCTGATGGACGAGGAGACGCTGGCCCTCTCGCAGCGGGTTTTCGTGTCCGCCGATCCCGAGATGGACCTGCGCCGGTACGACTATCCCGCCGCCAGGGTCACGGTATCGCTCAACGACGGGAGGATTCTCAGCGAGTCGGTGGTGGCACACCACGGGGACCACCGCAACCCGGCGCAGCCAGATGAATTACGAGGAAAGTTCTCCTACCTTGCGTCGGATACTCTCGGTGAGCACGGCGTGCGCGACGTGGTTGAAGCCGTGGGACGGCTGGAGACCCTGGCCGACATCCGGGATCTGACGGCGCTGCTGCGCGGCGGCTAGGAGCTCTGGTTACGTGCCGTGCTCCACGGCCACCTTGGTGTGCAGTCCGCCGCGAATCTTGTAGTCCAGGGTGATCTTCATCCGGCGCGGCTGACAGCATTTCACGAGGTCGTTGAGTATCCGGTTTGCGGCGTGCTCCTGCACGATTCCCACATCCCTGTAGGACAGCAGGTAGAACTTCAGAGACTTCAATTCAATGCAACTGTTTGACGGCACGTAGCTGATGATCAGTTCGCCGGTGTCGGGCAGGCCCGTCCAAGGACAGACGGCGGTGAACTCGTCGGTGTCGATGACTACCTCGGTGTCCCGCTCCGGGTATTCGTATTCGAAGGTCAGCAGAGACTCCGCTTCGATGGCCTCCTCGCCTTTAGTCGGAAGCTGCCGGTCCAGACCTTCGTACTGCTCTTTCAGTTCAGGAATCGTGACCATATTTCGCTCCGTTGAAAACTTCTCTTCAAACCATCTTACGTTCGTTTTTCGAGAGGTGTCAAAGCGGGGCTAACGCATTTGGCCGGCGAGATTCCGTGGCTCCGCAGGGAATTGAGCACAGCCATCCGGGGGTAGCGGACCCGCGGAGGGTGACAGGGTGTCCTGGTGGGACTGAAATTTCCCACTGGTGTCCCATTTTGTCCCACTTTGTCCCAAAATCACGTTCCGTCCTATCTGGAACCTCCCCGAATTGCCGAAAAATCGCGATTCCAGTCCCATTCTGTCCCATCTTGTCCCACCCGGCTTTCCAGCCTGTACACGGGTAATATTACAGGCCATGGCGTAATCCGAAGAACGCACAGGGAGCAGCGGGAAGCAGTAGGCATACCAAGATATGGTAGGGAGGCGCCATGAGGCTTGGCAAGGGGCAACTGTCATCAAAAGTATCAAATGCGATTGTATTGGACATGAAAAGGGAATAGAAACTCAGGGCAATCGCGTCTTGTTACTCAGCACACAAAATTGGTCTAATGTCGGTGGATATGGGAGAGGGAGTGGCAGTGCCTCCTTCGGTTCCGGGTGCGAGGGTATACGGGGGTTTGGATTCCCGGCTGCGCGGGAATGACGACTTATAGGGCCTCCGGCGTTTAAGACGCGATTGCCCTGAATAGAAACTGCCAGCCTTGCGTGGCTCAACGGCAAGGGTCTAATATAGGCCATCGTTCGAGCTTGCACTTTCGTCCGTACGGAAATCCGATTCGATACGAGGAAACTCCCCAATGACCCAGACTCGACAGGCTGGCCTCACTCTCGCCGACCTCGATTCGTTGAGCATTGAGGAGGCGCAGGCGCTGCCTTTCGACGAACGAGACCGGCTCCTTGACCTCATCATCGCCGATGGCAGGCACTATGCCACCGGCTCCGTTTCCTACCGCACGGGTATGTACAGCGACTATTTCGAAGAAGACCTGACCCGGATGCTCAAGGTGCGGGCGGTAAAGGTCTACTGCCGGGGCACCACTTCATCGAACTTCGAGGGTGTGGTCGTCGGCGACACCTATACGGATCAATACCGCGCCTGCCTGCAGCATGTCGAGACCATCCTGACCGCTGCCCGAACCGGCTATGGTCGGGTGATCAAGCTCATCGTATTCCTGACCAACATGGACCTCTGGGACGAGTTCAACAAGGTGTATCGCGAATTCATTCCGAACCCGCCCTGCAGGGCAGTCATCGGCACCACCGGCCTTGCTCAGAAGCCCCTGGCGATAGAGGTGGTCGAGTGCGTCGCCTATCGGGTGGCTGACTAGCCCAAGAGACCAGGAATCGCCGCGAATCCGCTAAAGGAGAGGAGGGAAACATGGCTGAACTGACCCTGGCCTATAAGGCCAAGAGCTACAGTACCGGCACCCTGGGCCGTGCCATCTGCAACGCCCGCAACCACCACTGGGTCGCTGATGACCCAGGAGGCGATGAGGTCGGGGCGGGAGAGCTGTTCTTCTCCGGGATCACCGCCTGTGCCGTTAACATGGTGGAGCGCATCGCCAACGCCGAGGACATACTCCTCGACTGGATGGAAGTGGACGTCGAGTCCTACCGCGATCCGGATAAGGCTCCTGGCGACATCACCCTGTACGATGCTATACGCGTCCATTTTACGATGTGGGGAGTGGACGACGATCAGGCCCACGAGCTGGTGGAGACCTGGAAACGCCGTTGACCCCTCTACGGTTCGGTCGCCGTGGCGACCGCTGATACCACCGTCGGTCTGACCTCTCATGCGGAAAAGAAGCGCTAGGCCGATTCACACAGGTACATCCGCAGGCCGCAGAGGATTCGGATTCATTGTTCGAAACCCTCTGCGGTCTTGCCTTTTCTGATTCCTGGCGTACCATTGTTTTCAAGTGAGCCATTACTACCCGATGAGAAGGTTTGGAATGAACATCTGCTCGTTTTTGCCCAGCGCCACCGAAATGGTTTACCAGCTCGGGCTGGCGGACAGCCTCAAGGGTGTGACCCACGAGTGCGACTATCCGCCCGAGGCCCGCGACAAGCCGTGGGTGGTGCGCAGCGTGTTCAGTGGCCAGCAGCCCACCAGCGGCGAAATCAGCCGCGTCATTGCCGAGCGGCTGGAGCAGGGCCTGGGAATCTACGAGATAGATGAGGCAGTGCTGATCGCCGCACAACCCGACCTGCTCATCACTCAAGCAATCTGCGAGGTTTGAGCCATCTCCTCTCGGCAGGTTGCCGAGGTGAGCATGATCCTGGACAAGAAGCCCGAGGTAATTTCCCTCGACCCACAGCTATTGGGCGACATCATTGAGAATGTACGGCTGCTGGGCCGCGCCACCGGCACCGAGCAGAAGGCCGACGAAATCGCCTCCGATATGCAGAGCCGCATCGAGGCGGTGTCTGGCCGCGCGGCTGACGCCGACACACATCCCAGTGTGCTGCACGTGGAGTGGGCCGACCCGTTGATGTGCGGGGGCCACTGGGTGCCTGAGATGGTGGATATCGCCGGGGGCTCCAACACCTTCGGAGACAAGGACACCGGCACATTCAAACTGGAGTGGGACGAGGTCGTCGAACGCCAGCCTGAAGTGATCGTGATGATGCCATGCGGCTTCGACGTGAAGCGCGGCTTGGAGGACGTGCCGATACTGGCGCAGCTGGATGGGTGGAAGGACCTCCCCGCCGTCCGCAACGACCGGGTTTACGTGGTTGACGCCAGCGCCTACACCAGCCGCTCCGGCCCACGCCTGGTAACCGGCCTGGAAATCATGGCGGAAATGATTCACCCAGAGTTGTTCAGCGGATTCATCCCGGAGTCAGGCGCCCTGCGGCTCTTTAACGCCTAGACGGGATAAAAGGGTTGAGAAGCGAAACGCCGGAGCGAAAGTGCTCCGGCGTTCTCTTTGCAGCTAGTTCAGCCGGGGCCCTTTGAAGGGGTTCTGGCGGGCGATCTCTTCCTCAAGGGCGTGGTTGCGGCGCTTGAGCAGGGGAACCAGCCGGTTCAACCGGTCGGCTGCGGTGGGAACCTCCAGCAGTTCCTGCCTCACCGGAATCGGCGCGTCCAAGTTGGCCGCGATCGTATAGGACAATTCCACTGGATCCTCGGGAATTTCCACCTGCGAGGTGTATCCGCCGGTGAGCGATATCAGGTTCCGCATCAGCTTGGAGAATTCCTCGGTCAGTTCCGACGACACTCCCGTGAATCCCTCTCCCACCGGCTCATCCAGCAGCCTGACCAGGGCGGCCACATGCGGTTCCTGCTGGGTGACCTCGATGATCTCGAAGCGGCGGTCACCCTTTGTGATGATATTCATCCGCCCTTCTTCCAGCAGCTGGGAACGGAGCACCCGCGTCGTCGTGCCTATGCGCTGCGGGTCTGCGGGGGAGCCCACTTCCTGCCCCGCCCGAATGAGCGGTACACCGAACGGCGTGTTGTAGCGCATGCAGTCGCCGATCATGGCTTTGTAGCGTTCTTCGAAGATATGCAACGGCAGCGGCATACCCGGAAACAACACCAAATTCAGCGGAAACAGCGGTATTTCGAGCAGTTCGTTGTTCGCGCTTGCCATAGATTGCCATATAGCACAGAACATTCTTGGCTTGAAACTCATTGCAATCTTTGCATAATATCGTCATCCGCAAATAGTTGAGCAGATATCTATGTCAATATGAATTTCCGACGAGAATCGCAGAACGCCTGCTCAAGGTTGATATCCTTCGCACGATAGACCGTACGCGAATCTGCGAGAACAAAGCTCGCATATTCATGGGCCTGCAGATCCACCGTAGCCGCTATCCGAGTTCATTATCGAGATCGTGCCGGACAGGGAGGGTGAATGTGGTGGTCCCTGTACGCGACGTGCGCACGCCAAGGTCGGCCGCCGAAAACCCTTGAACGCCTGGGGATACACCAAAGTCCCTCCTTTAACGACGCGGTCAAACGTTGGTCGGACCCTACTACCCCACATCGTGTTTCTTCCACACTTTCCCATCAATGACTTCGGCGAGATGCTGGAGGTGGTGCACCACGTTCCCGAGATTTCCGCAGAGGACCTGAACGAGCGCATCGAGCGCGGCGACAAGCTGTGACCTCGACACCTCTGCGCCACGAGAATACCAGAGCTTTGACATTCCCGGAGGGCGCAGCATGCCCGGCGGCGAGCTGGCGTTGCGCATCACCGACATAACGAAAGAAATTGACGAGGACACCACGGTCATCCTCAACTGCGCCGGCGCCAACCCCAGCATCACCGCAAACCGCGTATGAAGAGCATGGCATCCAGGCCATTGGCCTGAGGAACGGCACCTCAGGCTAGGATGATGCCGTGGTTCAGTGGAAGAACGTCGCTGACGCCGTTGAAAACTTCCCGAAGTATCCGAGGAGGGCAGGGCTGCCGCCGAGGAATACGCCGCTCACTGGCCGAGGACAAAGGACGGTGTGCGCATCGTTCCTGACAGCTCGAGCTCTGATGGCCAAAGCGGAACCCACCCACCGAGACCGTTTACCTTCGACGCCACCCCCCGACCCACCCCACAAGGAAATCGAGTGACCACCATTCACGTATTTCGCTGTGGCCCGGCGGTCAGGCGGTGCAGCGCGCCGACGACTTGGTCGCACGTCAAGAAACCCAACCATGTATTCTGCTGCGACGGGCGAACCCGCGCCACGGTAACCGGTTCCTTCTACCGACAGATGGGAAATAAGGAAGTCTATGTCGTGGATGCGGAGCTCCACCAGGGGGTCATAGGTCGCGAATTGCGAAGGGCATGGAGAGTACCGGGTCCCGGACTTGGCGACGCCTCCGCCACCGTTACATGGATCGGACAGAACTTCATGACAATCCGTCGCCAGTGGTGCTGTTCGTCCATACCAGCCAGGATTTCTCCGGTGGCCACAGAAGGCCGAAAAACTGGCTGCAACGCAGCAAATCGACATGGAGATCGAAAAATCGAGGAGTCCCGAAAAACAAGAGCCGGCCCATCAACGGTGACCTGCACCAGCGGGCGAAAATTCGGACAACGGCTGCCGTGACCCTGGTGAGCCCAAAACCCCAACCACACAAACACCACCAACCAACCAAAACCCACCCAACCAAAACAAACAAACAACCCACAACACAACCACACACACCCCCCACAAACACAACCCACACCCAACACAAACACCAAAAACCACAACAACAACCACCCACCCACAAACAACCACCCCAACCCAACCACAAAAAACACAACCACCAAAACACAAAAAACCCCAACCAAAACCAACAACACAAAAAACCCCAAACACACAAACCCCACAAACCACAACCACAAAAACAAAAAAACCAAAAACAAAAGAAGCTACTAAAACAACACCCAACGTATCCGGTGCTCGAGGGGGGCATGGCCGCCTGGCGCGAGGCTGGCCTGCCCGTCGAACAGGGCCTGACCGGCATCGTCCGCCCGCCCGCGGACATTAACTACCTGGGCGTGGACCGCAGCTATGGCGAGATGATGAACTACCTGCGCTGGGAGACCGAGCTGGGCTATAAATACGCCACCAGCTAGAGAAGCCAACAACCGATGCAGGGGCGGACGGCTTTGCGCCCCTGCCTGCTCGTTGAGCACAAAGAACGACTCTTGAAATTACGGAGGGAACCGGATGACTACCCGCGAAGAAGGTGCGGTGCCTGATTTTCTGCGAATGGACGAATTCCTCAGGTCGGATGTGGCAAACGCTGGCCTGACCGGAGACTGGTACGGCTGGCCTTCCAAGGAGGTTAACCCGGTAACTCTGCTGGATGACGAGGGGCGCACCGTCCGTATTCGCACGCCGGTAATGGACCTGGAGGGACTGATCACTCCCACTAACCTGCACTACACCGTGCAGCACTTTGACGTTCCGCCGATCATCCCAGCCCAAGACTGGTCCCTGACCATCGACGGTGAGGTCAAGAACCCGCTGACTTTGTCCTTCGACGACATCCGTCGCTTCCCTGGCCGCTCGGTCAGGACTGTTATGGAGTGCTCCGGTTCCGACGCCACCTTCTTCGAATTCCTCAAGGGCGAGGGCACCGACGTCCGTCCCCGACACTCGGGGCCATTGATCCTGCAGCGCCAGCGACATGTCCGGCGTGCCGGCATGTATGCCGCTAATGCCTGCAGGAAGCGGGGCTTACGGACCAGTCGCTGTACATCAGGGCCGAGGGCTGGGACATCGGCGTTCCCGCAACGGCCGAGCCGGGAACTGAGGCCTTTTACTACGACAAGGGCCTGCCTGTTCAGAAGGCTCTCCACCCTGACACCATCCTGGCGTGGGCGCAGAACGGCGCCTTGCTGGAGCACCTGCACGGCGCCCCGGTACGGCTGCTGGTGCCGGGATGGTCGGGCAACTGGTCGGTCAAGTGGCTGCGGCGGCTGCAGGTGATGGATCACATGCCTGACTGCTGGTACCACTACCAGTTCTACTACTACGCCGACTCTGCCGATTCGCCCGACAAGGAACTGATCACGACCATTGGCGTCAAGTCCATCGTCACCAGCCCCAACGACAACACCAAGGTGCTGAATTCCGGGGAGCACATGATTCGAGGATACGCCTGGAGCGGCGCCGGTGCCATTACCAACGTGGAAGTCAGCGTTGATGAAGGCGACACCTGGCAGGTGGCGCATATCGAGGCACCCCGCGACCGGTTCATGTGGGTACGCTGGTCCCACAAATGGGACGCCAAGCCTGGCGACTACACCATAATGTCCCGTGCCACCGACGAAGTCGGCCGGGTACAGTCCCGCGAGCCGCGCTACAACAACATGCGCAAGAACTTCAGCGCCATCGTGGGCTATCCGGTGACTATCGAGTAACCGCAAACGGTCGCATCACGGAACCGCTGCAATAGCAAGGACATGCTCGGAAGGTTTTCAGACTTACGGGCGTGTCCTGGGTGCGTATTCTGCATTGGAATGCGCACTCAAAGCAGCAGTGGTAAAATGCCCGGAGTATTGGAGCTAAAATGCCGATCATTGACCATTCCGACATTCGGATGCCCGCCGCCGTCGATCGCGTGAGCGAGCGTTATTTTGTGTCCAGTGCCCAGGGAGCGGAGTCCCTCACCATCAAGGAAGTCCAGATCGATCCCGGTTGGGAAGGCAGGATGCACGTCCACAACACCGACGTATCGATACAGGTGATCTCAGGCGCAATCCAGGCGATCATCAACGATGAAGTCCGCACCGTTCGTGCCGGGACGACCCTACTAGCCCCTCCTGGTACCCCGCACAAGCTGGTCAACCACCTGTGGACGCCTGCCGTGCTGCTGATCACGTACCCGACCAACGAGCCACAGACGAGCTATCTGGAATAGTATGCCTACTCAGGTAGGAAAATCATTTCTTGCAACACCTGGCTCCCGCTGCCGTATCCTCGGCAACCATTGCACTCGTAATAATCGACTCGGTGAATGGGACTATGGTACTGAGCGCCAGGTTTGCAGAAACCCTGGAAAAGCGTTGCCTGAGGCAGATAGAGGCCGGTGAGGATTAAGGCGCGATCGGAAGAACGCTAGAAGTGGATAGACTGGAACCAGCGCCGGGAGGCCGCCGAGGCTGCCGGTGAACACTTCAACGAGCCACCCCGCGGTACTACACCGGAAGGCGGGCAGGGGCAGCCCAGACAGAATCACATAGAGGCGCAAGCCGTAGACATCAGGAGGAAAAGATGGCCCTACCGCAGATAGGAACCCGGGCGGAACCCCAGATTATTCCGACCAACGCCGGCCTGCGCACCTTTGCCGCACCGCCTTCGGCGTTGCAGGAAAACATTGTTCCCAACGATCTCTTCTATGTCCGGAAAACCACACTGGACGGACTGCCCTGAGATCGAGGTCGATACTATCGCTCAGGTCGATGGTCAGGTCGGGAAGGGAACTGTCCCTTTACTATGAAGATGGGAGGAAGACGGGAGGAGCTGCCGCAGAAGCGCTTCCAGGTCTCACCTTCGCACAGTGCTCGCCGGCCACAGCCCGGGTGCGGAATACTCCACCAGTCCTCCGCATCAGATTCCGTGATGGAGCAGATTCAAGGGCACGGCATGTCATGGCAACGCGAGTGCGTCTGGCGTAGCCCTGCCGCGGCGTTCTGGAGCTGCCAGGATGTGAAGGACAACGCTGTCGAGGTGATGTTCGAGGGACGCCGACACGAGGCCGACGAACGTCGTTGCGACCCAGCCGAGAGATCACCTACGAGCGCAAGCATGCTGCGCGAAATTGCCAAGGCGCTGCACCCGACACGCTGCTGGCCTCGAGATGAACGGCGAGCACGCTCCACTCATGCACGGTCGTCCCGTACGCACGTCTCCTGGGTTGTCGGGTGGTACGGACATGAATTCGGTCAAGTGGATGGTCGCAATGCCACGTCCTGGACCACGAGTTTTCAACGGGCC